TGGCTTTTTTTTTTTTTTTTTTTTTTGCCTGCAGTGTCTTCCTATGTAGCCCAGACTGGCTTCAAATTCTCTATTCTCCTGCCTCAGTCTCCCAAGTGCTGGGATTACAGGTATACAACACCACACCTAGCTGTTGCAATAAATCTTTGAAGATATAGTTTGGAGCACAAGATGCCAAAAGCACAATAAAAGAAAAAAAAAATGGTACCCCAATTTTAGAGCACTAGAGACCAGGTTTTAGAGTCAGAATCGTAATGTTGAATCCTGACCATGTCACTGTGTGTCCTTGAGCAAGTCACTTCACCTTTGTGAGCTGCTAGATAGTCCCTGCTCCATGACAATTCATAGTGGTCACAATTGCCTCCACTCCTTTAGACCGAGGGATCAAGATAAGCAATGTCTGTTCTTGGGAGCTCTGAGACTAATACCACTTACTAATCCTGGCTTCAGAAGAGTAGATGAGATAAAGGTGGAAGGGGCTCTGTAAAGCCATGCACAGCGTGAGGTGGTGTTCCACATGGAAGGGAAATGGGTTTGCCAGGGGACAGAGCCTAAATAGAGTTTTCTTTAGCAGAAAAGTGCTCAGTGGCATTTGTCTGCAGTTTAAAAAAAACAGACTCATACATAAATCTTAGAAAGAAGTGAAAGCCAGACAGTGGAGGAAGAGGGCCTCAGTTATTTGCAATTTTTTTTTTTTTTTAAATTCCAACAAGACTGGGGTGGGTGTGGGTGCGGTCTGGCCTTGGGTTCCACCTTGGACTGGAAAGGCACAGTGAGAGCAAGTCAAGGTCCTAGCATGCCTCTCGTCCCTGCCCTGGTGAACGGACAGCACACAGATGAGGAGTGAAAAGTGGTTGGCTTCATTCCTTCTCTCTCTCTGGGCAGTCTGTGGTTTGGGCAGTTAGGCTTGTGTGTTCAGAAGCATGGAGATTCAGAACTGGCTTCTAGACTTGATCAAACCCAGGTTTGAATTCAGATTCTGACACTTAATACCTGTAAGACCTTTAGTTTTTATTTTTTGAGCCTCAGTTTCCCTACCTGATAGGATAACACTAGTATCACAGTGTTCTTGAGAAGATTAAAACAGATAGCTGATCTGTTAAGTTAATGTTCTGATCAGCTTAGTACCGAGTGCTAGGAAGTGGTACTCACTACAGCTGTGAGCACCAAAGGAGAGAACGTACAGAAAGCCATGCAGCCCGCTGTGGGAGGCCAGAGAGGAATGGATCTGGAGGCTGGGTATGGTGACATAGGTCTGGTAATCCCAGCATTTGGGAGGCGGAAACAGAAGGATTGTGAGTTTGAAGCCAGCCTGGGCTACATAGCCAGACTACATAGCCAAAACAACAACAGAAAACGTTTGGTTTTCGTGATCACTTCTCTGCTATTCTGAGCCCCACCTTAGCCAGTGGTTGGGAGTGGGAAGGTTGGGGTGAGGGTGCCTTCTTTAAGCCACCTGCTCCTCAGCACCCTCCGTCATAGCTCTGGACAAGGCAGGTGATGTCTCCTGGGACTTCAGAAGGCCTGCTCTCTCAGCACCCCCACCCCTTTCCCACCTGAGGGACTTTCTCCCAGCACCCCACTCAATTGGTCTCAGAACCTCACAGCCCAGACTCCATACCCTTGGGGGTTGGAGGCGGAGTAAATGCTCTATGATATATTTGCTCTTCTTTCTTGCTGACATTGGTGTCAAGTTACAATTGAGAAGACACTTGCCCTGGGGCAAAAAGGCCTGGGGCTCCACAGAGACACAAAATCATTTTGCAAGGGCTGTTTTTCCATCTCTGTTCCTTTTGGAAAGTGGGCTTCTAAATCTGGAACTTGAGCTGGAGGTGGAGCTCAGTGGAAGAGCACTTGCTTAGCACGTACTAGGTCCTGACTTGATCCCCAGCATCACGGAAAACAATAAACAATAAAAATGAATGAATGAACAAAGCTGGAACTTTCAGTTGGAGCTCTTTGGATGTTCACTCCCCCCAAAACCATTCCCTTGATTACATAATAATCATAACAGCAGTATCAGCTCTGAGAGCCTTCTATGCTTACGTGCTTACTGATCAAAAACCCTCAGGCCAGATAATGTTAAGTTAGGTTAGAGGTAAAGAGGCAAAGTCAGTGGCAGCTCCAGGCTCCTGCTCTTAATCCATGCCCAAGGTCTTCCCTCACATCCATTGTCTGCTGCTCTGTGATCTTAGATATTTCTATTCTTTTTTTTTTGACAGTACTGGGATTTGAACTCAGGGCCTTACCTTACTAGGCAGGTACACCACCACTTGAGCCAGTTTGTGTGTGTGTGTGTGTGTGTGTGTATGTGTGTGTGTGATGAGTTTTTTCAAGATAGGGTCTTGAGAACTATTGCCTGGGCTGGCTTCAAACTACTATCTCCTGATCTCTGCCTCCTGAATACTAGGATTACAGGTGTGAGCCACTGGTGCCTGCTTTAACTGGCTTATTTAAACATCAAGCATAGCTCTATCCCAGCATTATCCAAGACTATAGCACCCAGTAGGCAAAGGTGGCTGCTGAGCCCTTGAAATATGGCTGATTTGAAGTGACATGTGTGTAAGCATAAAATACAATCAGTTCAAGCCATGGGTTCCATCCCCAGCACCACAAAAGCAAGCAAACAACCAACAAACACACAAGTCTGGTATCAGTAGCTCATGCCCGTAATCTTAGCTACTTGGGAGGTTGAGATTGAGAGGATCATGGTTGGAGACAAGTCTGGGCAAATAGTTCTTCAGACCCTTATCTCCAAAATAACCAGAGCAAAATGGGCTGGAGGTGCGGCTCAAGCAGCAGAATGCTTGCTTTGCAAGCATGAAGCCCTACATTCAAACTCATCCCACCAAAAAACAAAACAAAACGAAACAACTCCCCCCCAAAAAACAAACAACCCCCCAAATCCCAACCAACCAACCAAACAAGAAGTAAATGCTGACTCACCAAGCAGGAGGAGGTTCCTCAGGGAGGGAGACACTGGCTGATAAATTTTGATGGATGACTTTGGGTGGAGAAAGTATGAGTTACAGCTTTGGGCCTGGGGCGGCAGAGGTTACCAATTTTGCTGGTGTGGACCAGGCAAGTCCCAGGTTCGGGATACTCTGACCCTTGGGCAGAGCCTTGTCTAGTCCTCACCACCTGACCTTCAGCAAATCTCTTCAATTAGTCCCTAATAGGGGAATGAACACTCAAATAGTTATTGAGTCTCCATTACGGCCAGAGCCACACACTATATTCTTTCCTCCAGACTCCTGGAGAGAAAGAAAATCTGTAAGAAGCGCTGTGTGTATGCAAATGACAGAGCAGGAACGCTCTACCCACCAATTGATGACCTCGCCTGGGAAAACCCAGGTCCTTGCCTTCCATCCTGCCTGACCCTTCTTCCCTCAGGAAGCCTGCTTGTCCTGAACCTTTCCCCCAAACCTGGGAACCTGGGTTAAGAAGCCCTGCTCTGCTCCCAGGAGACCTCGAACCTACCTTTCTTTCTTTTCTTTCTTGGTGGCTCTGGGGTTTGATCTCAAGGCCTCACACTTGTTAGGCAGACACTCTACTCCTTGAGCCACTCTGCCTGACTTCAAACCTTTCTTATAAACCTGGCCTCCAATTCTGACTGCACCATGTGGCCCGGGCAAGTCACTTAATCTCTTAGTTAAGTCTTGTCAAGTTGGGGTCCATGGCAAGGAAATTGATTAGCATAGCACTTGGCACAGGCACACAGCAGGTGCTCAATTTTTTTTTGATACTGGGACTTGAACTCAGAGCCTCATGCTTGCTAGGCAGGCACTCTACCACTTGAGCCACTCTGCCAGCCCTGTTTTGTGTTGGGTATTTTTGAGATAGGGTCTTGTGAACTATTTACCCAGGCTAGCTTTGAACTGCCATCCTCCTGATCTCTGCCTCCTGAGTAGCTAGGATTATAGGCGTAAGCCACAGGTGCCTGGCTTAGTAGATTTTAAAATATGGAGATCATTCTGGGTTAACCAACTGGCCTAATGTAATAAAGAAAGTCCTCAAAAGAATTATAGGAAGATGTGACTATGACGAACCAGAGAGATGACAGTATGCGGAAGACTGCCTGTCTTTGCACCCTTTGAAGATAAGGAAGAGGTAGTGGAGTGGCTCAAGTGGTAGCATGCCTGCCTAGCAAGCATGAGGCTCTGAGTTCAAACCCTAGGACCGCTCCCCTCACCCCAAAAAGATACTTGAAGATAAGGAAGAAAGGGTTTGCTAAGATAAGGAAGAAACTGAGTATTGAGCAGGAACTTCTAGAAGCTGGACAAGGCAAGGGAACAGATCTCCTCCCCTCTCCTCCTGCAAATCCAGAAAGGAATGCATTCGCCAGTACCTTGATTTTAACTCAGTGAGACCCATGTGGGACATTTAACCTACAGAGCTGCAAGACAAGAAATCTGTGTGTTTTTTTTTTTAAAGACACTAAGTATTGGTAATTTGTTACATTTAGCAACAGGCAACTAATATACAGTAAACACTGTTCATTTTTACTGCTGCTACTAAGCTGTTTGTTATAGCTGAACATTAGGCTATGAACTCCTCGACGTTAGGAAATAAATTGACCATATTTATCATTAGTTTGCAGGCTTTGAGGAGAGTGCCTGGCACACAGCAGGAGCTCAACAAAAACCCTTATTGAACTTACAGGTGGATCATGAATCCCGTCGCGTTCCACTCCCCCACCCCCAGAGTCCCTGCCCACACTGTAGAGCCTCCTGTCCAACACGTCCCCTTACTCTGGAACTGCCCTGGTGACTTTCTTCTTAAGTAGCCAGACATCCTGGCAGGGTGATGTAAATAGGGCGAGGGTCCCAGGACACTTTGGCCCCAGGACACTGCCGCACGGCGCAGTGCCCACTTCAGACGGCAGGGGGCGAGCGTGGCCAGCAAGCGCTCTCTGTAGGGTCGAAAGGGGCGGGGCTTCGGGGGCGGAGCGGCTCACCGCGCAGGCGCGGGGCCAGACGCCTCGCGCGTCCAGGGGCGGGGGACCTCAGAGCAGCTCCGGCCACGGCTTCGGTAGCAGCGAGTTCGAACCCCACTCCCACTGCCCTTCGGTTCTTGCTTCCTCGGCTCTTGGGCCTTCCGACGCCAGTTCCCTAAGCTCGTTGCACTTTGCGCTGTTCCAGCCGCCAGGATGCCGGTGACGGAGAAGGACCTGGCGGAGGACGCACCTTGGAAGAAGATTCAGCAGAACACGTTCACACGCTGGTGCAACGAGCACCTCAAGTGCGTGAACAAACGCATCGGGAACCTGCAGACCGACCTGAGCGACGGGCTGCGGCTCATCGCCCTGCTCGAGGTGCTCAGCCAGAAGCGTATGTACCGCAAGTACCACCAGCGGCCCACCTTCCGCCAGATGCAGCTCGAGAACGTGTCCGTGGCGCTCGAGTTCCTGGACCATGAGAGCATCAAGCTCGTGTCCATCGGTGAGTGTTCTGGTCCGGGCCCAGGCACCGGCAGGGGTACCGTCCTGTCCCGGCGCGTGCGCCTTGCCAAAGGCGGGGGCTCCCCGCAACGCGCCCCACCACGCCCCGCCGCCTGGGTTGAGTGTGGACACGGAGGCTGGGGGGAGTCGTCCGTGGGGATGGGGGCTTCAGGACTTAGGTGCCTTCCTTGGGCTGGGACCTGGCTTGATTGCTCCCCGCCGTGCGCCCGGGGCAGTGCGCCTCAGAGTTGGCTGTGGGGTGAGGGCCAAGATAGGGGGCTCTCAGAAGGAAAGGTGGAGATGTGACAGTTCTCTGTGCCTGGGGTACCCCTGAGAAAGCTGGGGGACTGGACACCGTCGTCCGCTGTCTCCCGGGTCTGGCCCTAGGGTGAAAGGCTCCCCCTCGCCCTAGCTGGGTGCGCCCAGGCTGGTGCGTTCTGCGGGCACTGAATGGGCGTTGGTTCAGAGTCCGAGCGAAGAGACCTGGGGAGCGACCGTTTTCTGCTTGGGACCTCCCCGCCTAGGTGGAGACGAGGACCTGGTATCCACCCCGTCGTCGCTGGAATGGGTGTGGGCCCAGTGGTTGGAAGGGGAGCCGCAGAGGTGTGTCCTCGCTCCTTCCACTCCCAGCTCAGCGCTGGCTGGGTTGTGATAATTTAGAGATAGTGGTGATTATAGTAATTGCTATCTTGTAGAGGACCCAACTAGCGCCAGCTGTGTATCGCAGGCTTTATACACACCACGAGCTGAGGTGTCCTTAGACCCATTTTACAGATGGGGGAATCAGAGGGTTAATTGACTTGCTCAGGGTCAGCTAGTAGGGTCCTGCCGAGGAAATAGGAGACAATTAGAAGGAGGTTTTGTTTTCCCCTCCCGTCCCCCACCCCCAGGGTCTTCCTGAGAAAGAAGAGAGAGCTGGTGTCTGGGCTCCTCCTGATGGACTGGAGTGAAAGAATGAGGATGAAGTCTCTTTTATGGCCTGCAGTAATTGGGGGCTTCCTAGAAGGTCACAGGGCTGCTGCTGCTGTGGGTTGTGACAACAGGGACAAGGGGTTTGTAGTGTGTGCGTGTGTGCACATGTAGGTGTGAGCTTATGTGAAGAGTACATGGTGTGAGTGTGCAGAGTGTTATGTATGTAGACAGTACATATGCACCTACATTGTGTATGTATGTGTGGGTGTTGCCAGGGAGGCAGTGGCCTAGAGCTGGGGTCTCTTCCTGAGGAAACCAGTCCATTATAGTGACTTCAGTGACTGAAAGAAAGGGATGTGGGTGTGGCTACAGGGACTTTCTCCAGTGGAAAAGGGGTTCCCTCTAGGCTGAGCCTCCTTTAGCCTCGCCCTGGCCTTCCCCCACACCTGTCCAGGCAGGTAGGGCTGCTTCCTACTTCCTGGGCCCTGGTAGCTGCCACTACCCAGCTTGGCCTCCCAGCGGTCCCCCCCTCCCATGGGTGGCTTCTCTGCAGAGGGAAGCTGCCTGCCAGGCTATTTTCTTGTTTGGGGGGCCCATCCCCTGTACTGGGGAGAAAGGACCTCAGTATTCTCCTGAAATTCTTTCCTTTTCAGAAACCAGCCTTGCCTTTGGGGAATGATTGGCTAAGCCTGGCTAAGCTCGACTTAGATCCATTCTTCTTTGTTTTAAAAATGTGTATTTATTTAATTAACCGAACAAAGAAACTTAAAGTAAACCAGGAGTACCCAAACATGACATAGAATCTCTTTAAAAAGAAAAAAAGAAACCACAGCACTAGAAGATCCAGGACTGCCTAATTTACCAACTGTTTACACAGGCAGCAGCTGCTGTCCAGGATGGCTTCATGTCAGTGCTCAGAGCTTGTTCGTCTCATTCTAGATGTTGTCTGGTACCTTACATTTTTTTCTACTTGGTCCTCATGGTTTTCATTCCTGAACCCACCCAGGCCTCAGGCTCCATTGTCCTGACATTCCAGGGTCTCTTTTCTCTGAGGGCTGCCTGCTGGCTGTTGCAGCTTTTTTCTGTAGATCACCACAAATTACATTGTTTGATTTTATTTTTCCTTTTAAAATATTTCTTGGATCATATTCCGCACAGTGGCTTTCCAGGGTCAAAGGGTATGGTCACATGTATGACTTCTGCCTAGTTGATGTCCAGAAAGAATTCACAGCAAACAGGTTTTCTAGCTTCTGGAGACCTGGGGGAGTTCCGCCAAGCGCCAGGAGTGCTGTGGGAATAAAGCCTGAGGCCTCTTCCTGCTGCTTTCTGGGGCTGTGTTGGGTAATGGCCCTTCCAGAAAAGAACAACAAAAACCTTCACTATAGGGGTGGGGAAGGTGGTCCAAATAATGTATGCACATGTAAGTAAATGTAAGAACCATAAAATAAAAAGAAATATTAACAAGATTGTTTTTAAATTGTTTGGTTTTATATACTTAATAAACAAATATAAGAGCATTAAAAAAAAAAGCTTCACTACTTGGGAGGCTGAGATTGAAAGGATCACAATTCAAGGCCAGCCTGGTCAAATAGTTTGTGAGACCCCCCATCTCCAAAATAACCAGAGCAAAAATGGACTGGAGGTTTGGCTCAAGTGGTAGAGTGCCTATTTTGTATCTGTGAGGCACTGAGTTCAAACCCTAGTCCCACCAAAACAAAACAAAACAAACCGAAACAAACTTCAGTTCACTTATTTACTGCTCTTATTATGTTGCCATGTGTTGACAGTGATACTAGCATAATGCCATTTGAGGGCACCCTCTAGGAGTTAAGTATGTTCTGTTGATCACTGGCATTGAATACCCGTGATGGTCATTGATTGATAATAATTGTTGACAATTGTTGATGGTATGCTTCAGCAGTCCCTGAGAGAGGAAAGGGCTTTGCTCTGTCCTGCCTGCCACATAGCAAGTATTTATTTATTTATGGTGCTGGGGTTTGAACTCAGGGTCTACACCTTGAGCCACTCCACCAGCCCATTTTGTGATGGGTTTTTTCGAGTTAAGGTCTTAGGAACTATTTGCCTGGGCTGATATCGAACCACAATCCTCCTGATCTCTATCTATCTTCTGAGTAGCTAGGATTATAGATATGAGCCACCAGGGCCCAACTTTCATGGCAAGTATTTAGAAAATGGTTGCTATAGTTACTGTCATTGTTGTTAGTATTATTGTCCCTACTTAAAGATGGGAAACAGGAGTGAAGTAACGTGTGGAGGTGACCTGACTAGTTAGTACATGGTGACTGGAACCCAGGCTTGCCATGCTGTTGAATTTGAGCCTTAACTGACTGCTTCCGGTGCAGACATGAGTAAAATACAGCCCCATGAATAAAATATGTGCGAGGACCCCTATAACTCAACATTTTGCAGGTTGGTTGTTGGAGTGGCATCTGGATACCCACACTTTAAACCTCTAGCCTTGGACAACACAGGGACCTTAGGGCCTTCCATGAGTGACAGGATTAATCCTCTGGGCTGTGATGAGGGTCCCAGGTGTTGAACGTTGTGCTGCTCAGGAGGTGAGCGGGGGTCAGTTCTTTGTGTTGAGGTTGAATTTGTTGAGGGATGGCTACTCATTGGTGGGTTTTTGGTTTTGAGATTTACTGCTACCCAGTAGACCACATTTTACTCAATAATCAGGGAAGGTACTATTAGATGAATACAGGGTTTTGTGTGCCTTGGATAACACCCCAAAATGGGAACCATTAAATTGGTACATACACTCAGCTGTGAGACCACGAGATGGTCAGACCACTGCCAGAGGCTGTGGCACTCACTGACAGACAACCCTGGCTATTTATTTACTCACATTTGTGGTTCTTCAGAAGGTGGGCCCACCCTAGGCTCTATCCCAAAGTTAATTTTTTTCTTTAGTTTCTTGTTCTATCCTGGGCAGTTCATAGTGAGGCCTCAGGATATTTAGTTCTAGCTGTTTGCCAGGAGCACAGTTTTATTTGTCTTTCCAAAAACCTTTCTGACTCTGGGCAGGTTATCTCACTTGGAGGAAGAGGGGTGTCCTAGCTCATGAATGATGATCAGGGCTGCCTTAGAAACTTGAGTAACGTATTGTGGTTTGGTCCTTTAGAAGAGGAATTCTTAACTTTTCAGAGAATGCTGCCTGATCCCAATGCTTAATTAATTTATCTGTATTTACCTGGAGTAGGTGGGTGTGCATTTCTAAGACTTTGGGTTGCTGGGCAGTTTCCTGGATGGTGGGTCACGGGTCCACTCAGTGTCTTTTCTTTCTTCCCTTTTTGTCTCACCACTACTGAAAGAATGTACAAATAACTCAAAGTTCTCCTGGAATTGCCTAGCAAATTCCAGTATGCTTTGGGGACAATGTCATCCAGACCCAGACAGTATTTAAAAAGTAGCAAAGTGGCAAACTTTGTTGGAATTAGCAAGTTCTAAGCCATTTGCAACAATGTAGCATATCATTGGGAAGCTGAGCTTGTGTATGGTTAAAGACAGGGAGTCTTGTGTCAAATCTCACTTGCCACAAAGTAGCTATTAAGAAACTTCTGTGCCTTGGTTTCTTATTGCTAAAATGGGAGTAATAACTACCTCCTTAAAAGTTGTTACAAAGCTTAAACAAGTTAATATTTTAAAAAGAGCTCAGCCATAGTTCAGGGTACATAGTAAGTGCTCTGTGAATGCTTGTTAACTGAATAAGGTACTGTCTGGTAATAGTCTCAAAAGTCGTGCTGGTATGTGGGGGGGAGGGGTTACACACTGAAAAGACATTTAAAGTCAGTGCCACTCTGGGGAGACCAGTTTGGTTGGCTAAATGTATATCCTGATTGCTAAAATAGAGTTCTGAGCTGTCTAGAGGGTGTCCCCTCATCAGGGGCCCATTCACACCAGCTTTGTTTCTGAGATTGGTGGGGGGGGGGTGTGAAGCTGGAGGCCGGCTGGTCATTCCACCCTCCCACCCTGTTCAGGAATCTCTGGGCCAAATGACTTCCAGATGGTGGTTGGGCCTCTGTGCAACGGTGGAGCCAGCATGCCAGTCATGAGCCGCCTTCGTTCTTGGAGAGTGTGTGTGGAAGGAGAGCTTTGATTTGGAGCCAAGTATGTCATCAGACCCTCCCACCCACGGGTCCTGGTTCTGCACTGTGAGGCGGGCACAGAAGGGTGATGGCCTTGCTCTTTGGGAATAGCAGATGCTCAGAGCCTGAGCTTTTAGGCACCAGGCCGTGGGTCCTACTCATCCTACTTTCTCTGTGCACAAAGCATCCACATAAGGCTCTGTAGAGGCCAGGAGGGCCTGATTCCCACTCTGCTCTGTAAAAGCTGTGCAGCTCTGGTCCGGTGCTTTTGCTTTCCTGTCTCTGTTCTCCCATCTGCAAAATGGAGAACAATACTTCCTATCTCAGAGTTGCTCAGGTTAATTTATAGCACAGTGCTGGCATTGTCATTATTAATACTATTTTGTGTTTCCCCCCCCACCCCCCCCAGTATTGGGGTCTGAACTCAGGGCCCCAGCCCTACCACTTGAGCCACACCCCAGCCCTGTGTTGATTTTTTGAGGCAGGGCTCTCTGTGCAGCCCAGACTGGCCTTGAACTTTTCTGATCCTTCTGCCTCAGCCTCCAGAGAGTGCTGGGATTATAGATGTTTGTCACCACACCTGGCTTACTTTTGTGCTTTTGAATCTAATTCTAGGTCTTTGTCTTGTCTTCCATCTGTTCTCTGGCCGGTCCTGACATGTTCGGAGTCCTATTGCTCTCATCTGGTGTGCTGGGTAGTCCCCAGCTTAGAACTGCTGATGAAGATGCCTCCCCAGATCCCGTTTTCCATACTTTCCTATTTCGACAAATACACAAAGGACCTACTCTGAACCAAGCCAAGATCTAGTTGCTAGGACCATAAGAATAATGAGACTGTTCTTGCACACTGCTCAGAGAAGACACAGCTAATCCAAGAGTATCAAAATAGGATGCCTTCTAGACTTCCAGGCACACACACCTCACCTGAGACTTTATTAAAAATTCACATCTGCTTGAGTAGGG